ACCAGAGTTGTAAAATCATGCTTTGGCGGCAGTATGATTGGGCGCCTCGAGCATATTGGGAGCCAGCTGGCAGCATCTATGCGTCCTCGTACACGAAGAACACCGTCTTCATCAATATAAGGCGAAAGTTGAATAAGCGAACTGGTGCGTGGTAGGTCCTGGCCGCTTTCGATCTGCTGAAACTCCTCGGCGTATTCACCATGCTGAACAAGACGGCACAAACAAAGCTTAGCAGTCTCGACTTCTTTGGCTGTCAGCCCATAGCATCGTTCTGGTGGATTACGGCGGCGGCAAATGTCAATGAATCTCAGGACCCATGCTGTCGTCCTCACCAGTTTGCTGAATGAAGAGAATCGGTTATAATCTAAAAATGTACAACTTACGATCGCAAGGGCGAATTTAGGGCGCAGTTCCTTGTCCGCTTCCTCATGATGATTGCATGTGAAGCCCTCTGACGGTCAAGCCTGCTCTTCTCGTAACAAAAATGGTGGGCCGCAGGTCCAACGTGCAGATGAGCTGAAGTCGATAAAGTTATTAGCTCGAGTGGCCTCATCGGCGACATTGTCCTCGGTAGGTAGCCATCTCCAATTTGCGGTAGTAGTTGCGGCTAATATCTCGGCGATCCGATGCTGCACAAATGGCTTATAGCGCCGATGTTCGCTGCGAAGCCACTGGATTACCGTTTTGGAGTCACTCCAAATGATGCAGTCATCAAGGAGTGTTCCTCCCGGACGCAGCTCATTAAACGCGTACCCAGCACGGCTGCCTGAAGCTCCAATCGAGGCACCGTCAAAGACTTCATCGGCGCGCATTTGGTTTTTGCGGAGATAAATGCGACTTCCACCTCACCGACGGCATTGGTTGACCTCCAGTAGGCCACCGCAGCAAAGGCATCCTCGCTAGCGTCGACGAAGACATGGAGCTGCAGAGCTTTAGGTTTGCCGTTTAGAAAATAGTACCGAGGAACGACATATTCGGCGACCGTTGAAAGTTGCTTACGCCAGCATTCCCATGCGGCGTTTACGTTGTTTGGCAATGGTTCGTCCCACCGGATGTCATGCTTCCACACCTCCCGCATGAGTATCTTAGCACTCACTACAAAATTGCTCAGAAATCCCAGCGGGTCGAAGATGGACATGACCACGCTGAGGAGTTCTCGCTTTGTCGGACGGCGCATTCCGTTCAATACGCTGGATTCTACGTTGTTGAACTTCAGTTTAAATCCAAAGGTGTCGGTCGATGCCTGCCAAAACAAACCGAGAACTCTGTCCACCAGTACTCCTTCCTTCTTGGCTATTTGACGGGTAGCTCCGTCGCCACCAAGGGCTTCTGTCACTCTTGACGAGTTCGACGCGAAATTGCAAAGATCGAAACCGGCCATCTTGTGTATTGCTCGAACTTGTTTCGTGATGTCAGCTGCTTCTTCTTCTGTGTCGAAGCTATCGACATAGTCATCGACATAATGGTAGTCCAGTATCGATTTCACGGCTCGGACAGCACCACTGACTTTTTTGCGATACTCTAACGCGTTGATCTTCTTCACATAGTTGGCGGCGCAAGGCGAACATGCTGCTCCAAAGGTCATTACGCGCATCTCATACACTTCGGGCTGTGGTGGTATCACCATTGCGCCAAAGAAATCGTTGCGCACGTCTATCGTCACGTTGAACCAGCACCTGGTGGAACATCTCTTTGATGTCACCACACACGCCTATTGCTCCTTCACGAAAGTGAAATAGTATAGCAGGCAAAGGCCGATATTCCTGTGGACCCTTCATGAGCTGTGAATTGAGGGACACACCGTCCACCTCAGCAGCCGCGTCGAACACCATACGTAACTTGCCTGGCTTGTTGGGATTGCTGACGGCGAAGTGAGGCAAGTACCATGTCCTATCGTTAGTTAAAGCGGCTTCTTCTGGCGACAGCTTTCTTGCGTAGTTCTTCGCGACGTAGGAATTCATGATGCGCTTATATTCAGCGGCAAAGTTTGTATCGCGCCTCGTTTTTGCTTCAATACCCGCTAATCTCCTCAAGGCCATAGCATAGCTCGCAGGTAGCTGTATGTCGGGACGCTTCCAGAGCAGACCAGTCTGATATCTTCCTTCAACACGGCACGTAGTGGACCTCAAGATTTCGCGAGCACGGATATCAGCTTCACTCTCGATGGCAGGCGCAGCTCGAACCCCAAAGCTTTCCGTCTCGAAATATTCGGCAACCGCATTGTGTAGCGACTGCTCAGTGTGGCAGTTAACGAATAAACATGATGGCAATGTCGGATAAGAGTTGGTTGTTGGTCCAAACACAACCCATCCCAACTCAGTATTCGCGGCAAACGGCCCACACTTGTTTAGCTGCATTGTGGTTGACGGCAAACCAAGGTGGCAGTGGTCGAGTCCGATTAACAGCTTTGGCTTGACTTGCGCGTATGGCTGAACTGCCAGCTTATTTAAATGTTTTTCATGGCAACGCAAATCGGCTTTACTCAGGCTCTAAGAAGGTAGCTGCAGGTTTGAAACACCATAAACCCTTCGTAGTTTATGTCTCTTTTGCATATTGGCACCACTCACGAGTAAGTCTACCACCACGGCTGGCTCTTGGGTGGCACGTCCTCCGAACCACTGTAGGTTCAAGCGTTCAGTCCGGCCACGTAACCCGAGCTCTTCAATTAGTGCGTTGTCAAGCATTGTTATTGACGAACCTTCATCAAAAAGGGCGTACGTCTCAACCCGCTTCTGGTTCCCATACAGCACGACCGGCAGAATCCGAAATAACAACTTGCTATCGGCAACGTTTGCACTGCAACTAAGGACTGCTACACCCGTATCGCCTTGCGACTGAATACGCGACGCTGGCTGCGTCTGCGTGCTAATCGTTTTACGTGGATCGGCAATGGAAACACGTCTGTTGCGATCTCGAGGCGGCAATGACTGGTTTGATGACCCGTCGATAGTTTTTTCAATTTCGTGCAACAATTTATGATGAAACCGTTTGCACCCGTCGGTGGCACATGGTTTGCGCCTTTGGCAATTGCGCGACCCATGTCCAGCGTTGAGACATGAGAAACAGAGATGGCATCGCTTCACTTCTTCCCACCTCTTCGGCACTGTAAGTTGGCTGAACTGGCTACAGTCGGCTGGCTTATGTTGGCCCTGACAAATAGGGCAAGTTGGATGGCGTTGTGATTCGGCAGCGTGCAGCACAACCCGGCGCTTCGAGTCTCTCGCTGTTTCCCCGTCGTAAACCGTGCAGATGACATTGGCAAGTTTAGTAAGCCAATCGCTGAAATGCTGAACCGTTGCATAAGGCTGCAAAGACGATGCAAAAACTGCCCATTCGATACGCTTGCTCATGGGTAACTTTCCAACGAGCTCATCAAGAAGCGTTGGATTCGCTAAATGCTGCTCTCCGCCACACGCAGAACGTAAAAATGCACAAATGTTGGCAATCTTCGTCGCAAATGGTATCAACTTTACCACTGAGCTTTCCGATATCGGAGCAATTTCTCGAACATGGGCTAGCTGGCTTGGAATTAATTGTTCCGGGCGACCGTATCGGAACCTAAGTTGCTCGATGATATTGCCCACATTGTTCGGGTGGATAAGCAGCGATTTAATAGCCTCTCGGGCCTCACCCCTTAAGCTCTTCTGCAGGCGTAAGTTGTTTTCAAAACAGCTGTACCCATAGACAGCGGTTGCCTCGGTGTAAGCAGTAAAAAATATCGGCCAGTCCTCCGGCTTCCCACTAAACTCCGGCAAATCTTGCAATTTTCTTGGCTGAGTTGAAAACTGCGCAGGTACGGAGCCTACGTTAGCAGGAATTGGCACCGTTGACGAAAGACTGTTAAGAAACGCGTTGTTACAGCTGAACCATTTGTTGAAGATGTGTAAATGGGCGGCGAGACACGAGTGGCGGTATACATCGGGCAACGTGTAGCGTTATGAGGTGGCAACAGCGGCTGCACAGCATCTACATTGGTAGCAGCACTCGTTACGATCGGCGATTGCGGGTGAAGAAGCTGGAACTGTGTCATTGGCAGGCTCGATGACGGCAAGGCAGATTCGTTGGCGGAACTGTCGCTGGGTGCACTGGATATGCTTTGCGCATCTGCGCGTTGGGCTTCGTTTGCTAACTCGTGTTCTCTTATTTTCTGTTGGGCAACCTTCAGACTGCGTTCAAGCGTGGCGATGCGTTTCTGCATAGCCTTAAACATCGCTTCCTGGCGGGCGGCAGATGAGGCACGAGTACTAACTCCCTCGGCTTCGGGAGTGTTTGGCAAATCAATGATGTCGGCAGCAGTGCCGGAATCCGATACTAACTTCGGCGGGTCGGCCACTGAGGCAGATGTAGTGGCTTTAGAAACTGGTGAACGCATAGTCATATCATGGACGTCGGCACGAAGACTTACGCATGCAATGCGGCTAATTGCAAGATTAAACAAAGCGGCAGGATCTTTATGAACGGCAAATAAAAATATGAAATGTATGCGAGTTGCAAATAAACTCCTTAATTCAGTGTATAAAATACGGCTAAATTATTCGCCTGGCTGGCAAATGCGAAATTCGACTTTTCAGTCCCACATACAAATAATTCCAATAAGAATAGTTACAGTTCTTGTTCGTTTGCGGCGGCAAGTGCAAAAATGTACGTATGTGTATAGGCGATGACTGAGGAACGTCGAGAACTTTCCATAAACGGCAATCAGTCAGTGAAATAAATTATGTATTTCACTGCGAAATAAAGAAATTGTCGTCAACCCGCTTGCGAATTTAACGCAAGTAACGTTGTCAAAAAA